GTTTATTCCCATCCCCTGCTCTATACTTTCCTCTCAGAATTCAGTTGAACAAACCTGTATTAGTACCTACAAAACAGACACTATGGAAGATAAGTTATTAGGAACTCAGCTAATGAGCTCCCTCATCATCTTCATATCTCACATCTCCTTCCCGACCCAACCTAGCAACTGCCATACTTCTCCACTGGAGCCCAGCAACCTTTCCTTCCAAAAACCACCAGAACACTTTTATTTAGCTTTAAAGCTTGTTTCAAATCTAGAGATCTGGTTTCATTTATTACTTAGTAGAGCCCTCCAAGGCAGATATTAGAAATTACTTCACACAGCACTAATCATCAGAACAGCAGGGTCAAAATACCTTATAGCTGGCATGTCAAAAAAAAAAAAAAAATTAAAGCAACGACTGACCATCACTTTTCCTTTTGTAGATGTACTGTTCCATTTGGAAGTCAAGGTTGGTGCCACCTAAGTGGGTTCCTGCTGCAAGGAATTTGAGGACATCCTCCTCCTTCATTTGCAGGACATCAAGGGCTCCGGACATTGTGAAAGTTTCCCTTTTAAGTTACGACGGGAACCTGAAAAGCAATTGTTAAAAATCTAGTCCTTTTCATTCCACTGAGGTAAGTGGGGTAGGGGAACAGACGCATTCTAACTAAATACTCGCAAGAATCAGGCAACTTCATATTTAAATGCAACCATGGCCTACACCTCCTACAGAGTCAGACACTGAGCTTACAGTCTCGTGGGCTGAAACAGAACAGAAGAGTAACAGACATGCCACACATTATAGAACTGCAGCAAATCTCGCTGAGCAAAGAGTGGGGTGGAGATGGGCAGAACACTTAGAAAATGAAACTAAACGAAAACAGTAAATTAAGCCTTTACCCTTCTCAAGGTGCCCAAGAGTTAAGTTATGGACGCGCAAAGATAACCAGATGTGAAAACAGCAGCCATGTTCGAGAATATGCTAAGGTTGAGCAGAAATGGCGGAGATGGGGGCAGGGTTATTAGGTTTATTTTCAAGCAGATTGTAGGCGGGCGCTTCGGCATTACTTCTCCCTGCAGTCACTAGTTTTCCTCAAAACCCTGCCAAGAACCTTAACTCCTGAACGGAGTAACACGCACGGGAAAACCCGACCGGCCAAGGAGCTGCTGTAAACTGGCGCCTCGGGCTCTGGGTTCACAGCCAAGAGCCGGGGCCCGAAGTGATCGCAGCGCGGTGCCTTGGCCCTGCTTTCTGCAACCCCACCATCTGCGGTCCAGCCCGCACTGCAGCCGGGGCCTCGGCCCAGCGCGCCTTCCGCCCGCCCGCGGGGCACTGTGGGAACCCGCGGGCCCGAGCCGCCCACGTGCGGCCGCCAGACCTTACGGGAGTGCGCCGAGCCGCAGACGGACCCGCTCCATCTGCCGGCTTTCATCCCGTCCTTGCAGCCCTCACTGAACAGGCAGCTCGTTTTGGTGGCCCTGATGCACACGGAGACCTTCAGAAGACTCACCCAGAACAACGCCGTATGGACCCCTCCTCGGGCAGCGCGGAAAGGACAAGCGGGCGGAAATGACGTCCTTATATACTCCGCCGCCAGCCAATGACAACTAGAGCTGAGCGGAAGGGCGGAGTCTGAAGAGGCGGGCCTTCCCCTTCCGTAAGGCGGGTTTGCAGCGCTGGCGCGGACTCTCGGGTAATGGCGTCTGTTGTTGGGCTGGCTCAGGCTGGGCGGTTGGCGAGTTTGGGGCTTTCTTGCACCGCAGCGCTGTTCCGCGCGTCTCGGCCTCTCCTACTGTAATTCCAGTGAAGGACGCGGGCCTGAAGCCAGCTAGCCAAGTGGGCTTCGAGTTCTCACCCAATGTTTTGTATCTGTGAACCTGAGCGGGTCCCACACCTAAGCTGCAGTTTCCTTACGTGGAACAAACTTGTGTTTAATAAACAGAAGCTGAGAAATTATTTTTATTTTTTGGAGGACAATTTAGCAGTACATAATGAAGACTTTTTAAAAGTTCACTTACGGGATGCGTTCCTGAAAAAATAGAAAAGACTGCACAGATGGTATACATGAGATTTTTTTTCTGGTAAAAGAAAAATTGCAATATCCATAAATAGATTAGTTAATAAAGACTTATTCCGTCCAATACAGTACCATGCAATCATTAAAAAGTAAAGTATATACTATAGTACAGAAAGGAGTTGGAGGATGAGGGCGATTATTTTTAAAAAATTGAAGCCCTGTGCATTAAAAGATGATTGTAAAGCAATAGCCAATAGCCAAATTATAACTTGTATAGTAGGTTTCAACCCTGGCTGCACTTAGAATCACTTGGAGGGCTTTTAAACATGTGCCGAACCCCAAACCAACAAAAAAATCTGATTTTTAAAAATAGCTCTCGAAAATTTTGGTGTGTAGCCAAGGGTGAGAACCACTGACAGACGCATAGAGAAACTGGGTGCGTTTTTTTCTCAGTTGTTAGTAAATTTTCTCAGGAACACAGGTTGTTTTTAAATTGAAACAAAACAAAACCCTACTGCATTTAAAGAAAGAGCTGACATAGAAGGGAAGGAGTAAACTTAGGCATGGCTTTAAGCATCCTTAGAAACTGCTGAAAATACCTAGAGACATTTTGGCTCTCAAAAAAAAAAAAAAAAAACCTTAAAAATAGCTATATGAAAACTGAATGGCTGGCTTTTATGGACAGTTTCCTGTCACTGCAGGACTTCTCTGGAAGGCCTTCTGGGACACTCCCAAACCATCTCAGCAGCTCCCTCTCCTATGCACCAGTGTCTCAAGAATTCTTCCATTAAAACAACTAGGAAATTGTACTGTAATTATTCTTAGGTATTTGTTTGTCCACAAAATAACTTTGTCCTTGAGAACTGATCTGCATGATGAAATTTTGGGTGAGGAAATGAGTTGAGAAAAGCCCAAAGATGAAAATGTCCTTTAGTGGCAGTAAACCACAGTGAGCAGCCCTTGGCCGAAGAGGCGCTTGTCGAAGAATGGCCCTAGCCCCCCAGCCAGGTGCCCTCTTCCCCACCTCTCAGCCTTCTGGTCCTCTGCACCACAAGTTTCTCCACCATTTTTTATTCATGCCCATTTTTGATAAAAATCTCAGAGCCTTCATTTTGCAAACTTTGGTTTCTGGGGTTTATATTTAAAAAATAAAAACTAGACTTAAGAAGATTATTTTTCAAGTATAAAACTGTGCTAGGGACTGTAGATGTTTTGGGCTACACTTCACATGGCATTGGGGGCTAGGAGAGCCTCTATTCTGATTGGAAACAGAGAATATGGAGCACCTAGCTGGCTCCAGGCATCAAGTTCATCTCCGGGACCTTCCCACCTCCCTTTCTAACCAGGCTTCCTCCTTGCTCCTCTTCATCTGTTTGTCTGGTATCCAGTTGTCCTACAGTCCTCTCCACCAACCTTACCTGTAGTGACCTGAACAGTGTTCCCAACTCACTCTTCCCTCCTTTGTCCCTAAGCTCTCATTCCCTCAGTTAAATAGTATGGTCCCTTCTGTCTACTGAAAGCATTCCATCCTACAACTTTTCTCTGTCGCTTGGCACTTTGTGTGTTGTATTAGTTCATATATTGGAATCCCAGCTTTGCCACATGCTAACTGTGACTCTGAATTAAGTCACTTAACCTCCCCCAGGAAATAAGAGCTGTTGATATTTCAGCTGCTGCTGTGCCCCTGAAACGAGCCCCTGTGCCTGGAAATCCTCTAGGATGTGAGTGAATAGAGAAGGCTTACCTGATGTGCATATTTTATAAACCAAGGAGACATTTTAATGTGCTATAAAAAAACCAAAGTTACATATCAAATGTCAGAACTCAAAAGTTTAAAAATTAAGTCACATGTATATATACTTAAGAAATCACATTAACTAAAAAGGACACAATTATCCCTGAAATGGAGACAGGCCTGGAGAGTCTGGGTGGCTTCAGTCAGTTTGGCCCTCAATCTCAGAGCGTTCTCAGCAAACACCGGCATCCTCACACAGGCCCAACCGTCTGAGGCAACTGCCAGCTTGAAGCCCTAGGTTCAGGAACAGCCACATCTGCAGGATGTTCATGTGCAGGTTCACTAAGAAGTTCACTGAAGTCCAGCAGGATGAGTTCTCAGAGTCAGCTGAGCCGAATCTCCTTTTATATAGATGAGGAAACCAAGGTCCAAATACAGTTCAGAGTCACACAGTTACAATTAAAACTCATGCTCAGTCCACAGTTTTTTACACTAAAAACACTGGTCTACACACAGGTTTTCTTTACAGTGGGATGGGACCCAAGTTGCACCCTGAAGAATGCATGGCATAGAGGAAGCATACAGTGAGAAAAAAGGGCATTTCAGGCAGAAAGGAGAGAGTGAGTATGATAACACATCCAAGAGCGTTCATTCAACATTCATTAATCCACAAGCCCAACTCTGTGAGAAAGGATTATGGAGGGAAAGGCGAATCACCTGGTGTGGCCCAGACTCAGGACAAACAGGCAATACATAGGTAGCGTAGGTTAAGGCCTGACAGAGAAGGACTTGGAATATTCTAAGGCAATTTGGGGTATATTTTGCAGGCAGCAGGCAGTCAAAGGATTATTAACAATGGAATGGGTTTTATGAAGAGATTTAGGGGAAACTTAGATTAACTTCCAACTTGTTAAGTTAAAGCGACTATGGGACATCCAAGTAGGTGGGGATGACTAGCAGGGGCCTGATATGCACAGAGGTAATAAGGCGAGGTCTGAGGAATGGATAAAATAATTAAAAGACAGAGACCAGTCAATCAGTAAACATTCATTGCATGGCTTCTCTGCGTCTTAAGGCACAGAGAGAAGCTCGGATACAACAATGAACAAGACACATGGCGTCTGCCTCTTGGAGCTTATGACTGAACTGGAGAGAGATACTAAACAGCCACGACACATCTAAATGCTACAGAAGAAAAGCATAGTGTCTCTGAGCACTTAGAAAAAGCTGACCCAGCATGAGGGGTGGTGGAAAGCTTTCCGGTGCAAATGATGTTTGAACCAAACTCTGAAGGATGGAAAGGACTCACCTACATGGGGTGGAACAGAGTGTTCCAGGCAGAGAAAACAGCAGTTCAAATGTATGAGGCAGCAGGGAGGAAACTGGGGAGTGCATGAGAGGCATCAAGGGCACAAAGTGCAGGCAAAGACACCCAGGTAAGACTTGAGAATGGTTTACGGAGTCAAAAAGGAGATCAGTCTGGCTGCAGAAAACAATATGGGAGAAATAAAGTGAAGCAGAGAACAAGACCACATAAAGCAGTTCTTGACCACTAAGCCAAGACAATGAGGCTTACCACCAGCACCAAATTGAGAGGAGGGAGGGTGGGTGTAATCAGCAAGAGAAGCACATGATATAAACAGTACATAAATAGACCTGGATTTCCATGTTTGGATAACAGTTCAGGAAAAAAATTTTTCAGAAAACAGTGATCCTTTAAAAAAAAAAGTCAAATTATTTACAAGTATCAAACAAGCATAGTTAAATCTTACAAAAGTAACATATATATAAAACAAAATGGAGAAATACAACTAGTCACAGAAATAATGCAAAATGATAACCATTACTACTATACTACAAACACTCACAGCTCTTTACAAAGTCTATTATTAAGCAGTCATTGTTTAAATCTTCCTGATGTCAAAAGTACACAGATTTAGTTAAAGTTGATTCCATTACAAGTGATACTTTTATTGGTTCCTCACGTAGATGAAATTCAGTGTGCACCACTCTGTTATTCACCTGAAAGATAAAAGCACAAACTGTTAAAAAATGTGAAAAAATAACGTGAGGCCCTGAGCAAAAGCCTTCCAGTAAACCCCACGGAATGAGATGGCAGAATTCTGTGACTGCATCAGGAAAACCATGCAAGCACCATTCATGTCCCACCAAGTTCTTGGAACGCAGCACTGTGGGATGGAAAGAGCACTGGACTGAAGAGACCACAGACCTGGGTTCAGTCTCAACTTGCCCCTAGGTAATATCAAGCAAGATATTAACCCTTTCTGAGCCTTGGTAACTCCTGGTAAAATGAAAAGATTGGATGTTATGTTCAAAGTATCCAACAGCTCTGCAATTCCAGGGCTGGTTGTAAGTTCATCACTTTGCTATAAGTGCCTTTAATGCAAAGGCTGCATCATGCTCATTTTGGGACTTTCTTGCTGGCATCTACTCAGCAAATGCTTTAAAAATGAAGTGAACCAGGGGCTGACCCGGTGGTGTAGTGGTTAAATTCATGTGATCTGCTTCAGTGGCCCAGGGTTCACGGGTTCAGATCCCGGGCGCGGACCCACCTACTGCTCATTGAGCCATGCTGTGGTGGCATCCCACATACAAAGTAGAGGAAGATGGGCACAGATGTTAGCTCAGGGACAATCATCCTCAAGCAAAAAGAGGAAGACTGGCAGCAGATGTTAGCTCGGGGCCAATCTTCCTCACCAAAAAAAAAAAAGAAAAAAAAAAGAAGTGAACCAATGAAGACTTACTGAACATTGGTCAGCAAACCAATTTTTCAGTTAGCATTAACTAAAATGGATTTCTATGTACAGTTGGTTAAATCTTTGTTATTATGTATCCCTAAGAGGCTGACAAGAAACTGTTTTCTTAAAAAGAGAAATTGAGCAATATAAAATATTTGGGAATATGGTTGGGATGACTGTCAAAATTGCCTGTAGTCCCTCCCTTTAACATTTCCCCAACAAGCTTACCTCAAATGAGGTGAAAAGGAGTTTTGAAAGCTGTTAAGCATCAAATGTAAAGTATTAACATTAAATATTTTTTTAAGGAAATAAGAATAGTTATCATACCTGGGGGAGGTGAGGAGTAATTAATATATAATTGTGGTTGAGAATGAACTCCAAAAGCCCTCTGCCTGGGCTGGAATGCCAACTCTGCCACTTACTAGCTCTTCACCTGAATAGTGGATGTGAATCTCAGTACCAACCTAGGGTTGTTGGAAGGCTTAAATGGATTAATATCTGTGAAGCACAGAGAGCAGTAACTGGCAGAGTGAGCAACACAATAAATGTTAGCGTTGCTTGTACTGTGCTCATTCACAACCTTTTCTAAATTAGCTCTCTTTGGGTATCAAACTCCCGGATTAAGAAGAAAATTACTCTTCAATCCTGATATGATAGGCCACTGTAATCGGGCCCTTCTCCAAACTACAGTTTGTGTATAAATCTGCTGCAATTCTTGGCCACTCATTCATTTAGTGAACATTTACTTTGGGCTACAAGCTGGGGAGACAAACGTGAGCTAGCGCTGGTTCTTAAAGAAGCCCTCAGATCCTCCCCTCTCCTAGGGGAGCTGGGCCAGGCCAAAGCCGACTGCAAGGGTAGGACTACAGAGCAGGCAGGAACTTGCAAGCCCACCTATTATGCAACTCACTCATATTACCAATGATACAAAGTGTCACTATCAGTTTTTCTTGGCATCTGGCTCAGCCAGGTCTTCTGAACAATGCTGCCAAGTCATCTAAACTCACGATCAGCCCATTGTTTTCAAGCAACTTTTCAGTATCTCTCACGTTTTCACGGCTCTAGTCAATCTTCTCAGGAAAACGTTCTCATCAAGTGTGTTAGCTTTAGAGTGAATGGAGCACATGCTCACTTGGAATTTACTTACTTTGGTGAAAAAGTCAGCAATGTGCCACTTATTTCCATGCTGTTTAAAGACTTCAGTCATTGCTTCGATCATCACAGAGCCAGTGCGGGGGTGCCGTAAAGCGACATGGTCTACAAAGGAAAGACAAAAATATTCCATCCATTTTCCTCCTCTACTTGCAGCTAACTTGTTCTTTGACCCACATCTAAAACCAAGAAAATGGCTTTGAAGTGTGAATACAGAAACACTCTTGCATTAGCAGAGTGTGTCTGGGGCCACAACAGACAAGGGCACAAACAAAGGGAGCATCTGAGCCTCCCAGGGACCTCGTGTGACCAATACACATAACTTCTGCGGGGCATTCTTTTTATGTGCTTTTTTTTAAATAAAAGTTTTCAAATATTCACAAAAGTAGAAAGTAAAGCTTAACAAGCCCCAATATAATCATCCCTCAGATTCAACAGTTATCATCATTTTGCCATATTTGCTTCATTTGTCCCCTTCCTATTTTCTTGCTGAGCAAGATTCACCCTGAGCTAATCTGTTGCTAATCTGCCTCTTTTTGTATGCGAGTGGCTGCCACAGCACGGCCACAGAGAGACGAGTGGTGTAGGTCCGTGCCCAGGAACCAAACCCAGGCCGCTGAAATGGAGCACGCCGAACTTAACTACCAGGCCACTGGGGCTGGCCCAATCCCCTTTCTATTTTTCTATTGCTGACTTTTGCTATAGCATTTTAAGCTGAATACTCCCTAAATACATCTATATGGAATTTATTTTGGGATCTCCCAAAATTTACTGAAATTATTTTTATTATTAGATTAAAAAACATGTCTGTTTAGTGTGGAAATTCAATGGGAATATCAAAATTGTACCCTCTCATAGTAATCTGGATTGGAACAGAAAAAATATGGGTCATCTTCACAACTTCAGGGTAGGCAAAGGTTTCTTAGAAAAGCAAGAAGCATAAACCATAACAGAAAAAATTGATAAATTGGACTTAATCAAAATTAAAAACTTTTGCTTTTTGAAAGACATAATTAAGAAAATCAAAAGCAAGCCACAGATTGGGAGAAAATATTTTTAACACGTACCAAAGAAGGACTTGTATCCAGAATATACAAAGAACTCTTACAACTTAATAAGAAAACAAACAACCCAATACAAAATTGGGCAAAAGAAGATATATGAATGACCAATGGGTACATGAATAATCATCATTATTGGTCTCCCAGGAAATGCAAATTAAAATCACAAGGTGATACTATTATACACCCATTAGATTGTCTAAAATTTTAAAAACAGATCATACCAAGTGCTAATGAGGATGTGTAGCAACTGGAACTCTCGTACACTGCTGGTGGGAATGCAAAATAACACAACCCCTTCAGAAAAAAATTTGGCAGTTTCTTTAAAAGTTAAATATGTACCTACTATATGAACCAGCTATTCCAGTTCTTAGTATTTACCCAAGGAAAACAAAAACATGCTCAAAGACTTGCACACAAACGTTCACAGCAGCTTTATTTGTAATAACCCAAAACCAGGAAGAACTCAAATGTTCAAAACGTGAATGGATAAACAAATTGTTATATCCACATAATTGAATATTACTCAGAAATAAAAGGAAATGAACTATTGATAGACAAAACAGCATGGATGGATCAATCACAAAACCATTATGGTGTGTGGAAGAAAATACCATAGAACTGTGTACTTCTAGTTCTATAAAATTCCAGAAAACGTAATCTAACCCATGGTAACAGAGAGCGGATCTGTGGTAACCTAGGGATGGGACGGAGGCAGGGACGGATTATAACATGAGAAAACTTTTTGGGGTGATGGAAATATTTGCTTACCTTGATCATGGTGCTGGTGTCATGAGTGTATACTTATATCTGTTCAAATTGTATACTTGAAATGTGTACAACATACTTCAATTATACCTCAGTAAAGTTGTAAAAAAATCCACAGAACATATCTGTTTAGTGTGGGAACTATATGGGAATTTTAGTATTGCCCCTCAGAGTAAATCTGAGTTAGAAACACCACATCGCAAAGCTTGATAATCCATCTAGTCTAGTGTTCTTCAAACTGCAGGTTGTGGCCCAAGAATCAGTCAAGAAATCAATTTAGTAGACTGAAACCAACATTTTTTTATAACGGGATAGCGTGGGATATAACAGAAAATATTAAAGTGTCTCAAACGTAGTAAGGGCAAGTACTATTTTTAAAACTCGTATTTGTTAACATATTTATGTAAATGTATGTAACATTATAACGAACTACGCATTTTATCAATTCTAAGATTTCTTTTCACTTTAGCTTCTCTAAAATCTGGATGTGCTATATAATCTCTGCTGTGTCATAGATTAATTAGTAGCTTCTTGATGATACAAAATAATGGTATGTCTTACAATCAAGGCATTAGATTTGATGAAATACAACAGCTATTTCTTACTGTGGGTTATGGCAAATAACATTTGAAAGCCTCTGGCCTAAGGCAGTCTGCAACCTCTTTGAAGAATCAAGCGCCAATCAGCAAAACAAAAATCACGAGTAGCTGCCACGGATCTTATCAAATGAAAGATTATATATTTCTCCTCGCTTTGAAAATTATCAGAGATGCTAAGTCGTGGCCATGAGTTCAGTCCTTAGGACAGATTCTAAACGACTAAAAAAGTCTGATGAGTGAAACTGGAGAACTTTAGACTCTGGCTGAAAGCTAGTGTGAGCCCAGAGATTTACCAAACAAGGTCAAAAGATCACCAGGACTGGGATCCCTATACTTGCATTATAAAATCGTTTAGATAACTTTGGCCATGGAACATGAGCAACACTCACTCACAAGACTAAACACAAATAGCCAATAAACAGATGAAAGCATGTTGCTCTTTCTCTTGCACACAGGTGGCATGGCTTTGTCACAAACCAAGAATGACAAGCTCTAGGACTTGCCGGGGTCAGGTAGCTGGTATAAATGTCTATGGTGAGCGAGATGTCAGAAATCTGAGTTTTTATGTAAAATCTCCCAATTTTTAAAAGCACATATCTCCATTTTAAAATGTTTTAAATTCATTTTTTGAATAGATAATACATTCAAATGGTTTAAAATTCAAATTGCAAAAGGAATCTAGTGAAGTCTCCCTCCCTCCTTGTCCAATGCCCAAGAAAATCAAGGGTATCAGTTTCTTGTGCATCCTTTCAGATCTGTTCTATGTATGAAGAAGCTTATACATGTCTGAGTGTGTAACCACTCTCCTCCCAACCCCAGTAGCATATTATACATGCTGTTCCATGACCTGATTCTTTTTCACCAGTTCATCTTGGAGGTTGTTCATCATCAATACATAAAGAGCTGCTTCCTCTGTTACATAGTATTCTACTCTATGCTTTACCATAATTTATTTAAGTAGTCCCGTATGGATAGACATTTAGATGTTCCTAGTACTTTACTATAAAAAACAATGTCAATGAATTGAGCACATGTCAATCAGACATGTACTAAATACCTGGAAGATAAACTCCTAGACAGGAATTATGTGTGTACTTGTAATTTTGCTAGATAATGCCAAATGGTCCTCCAAAGAAGTGATACTAATTTATAGTCCCACCAGTAATTAATCTGTAAATTCTCTATCTCTTCACCAAAAGTACACATTCAAACTGTTTGATCTCAGCCAGTCTGATAGATTAAAAATGGTACTTCAATCTTGTTTAATAAACTTTCTTCTTATAAGTAAGGTTGAGCATCTTCTCCATGGTAACTGTGTTCCCTAGGAATTGTCAGTTAATAGCCTATACCCATTGTCCTATGCGTTATCGGTCTTTTGCCTATTGATTCACGTATTAGGAAAATTAGCATCTACCTGTGTGTTCCTCCTATTCTCTCCCTCCCCCATACAGAAACCACTAATCTTAATTTTGTATTTAGCATTCATCATTTTTAAAAATGTCATAGTTTTACCACATATATATGTATCCTTAAATAATAAAATGTGTGATTTTGCTTGTTCTAACTTTTTTTAAAAAAGACAAAACAAAACAAAACCAATTTCAATGTTATATTTCTAAGGCTGACCCTTTTTCTTGCATGTAGCTGTAGTTCTACTCCTTTGAGTCCACGATTTAGTCCACATCCCGAACTATTCTTGTTAAGATCCCCAACGACCTGCACATTTCTAAATCCAAAGGTTAATTCTCTGTCCACATCCTACGTGATCCATCAGCAGTGTCTGATATTGTCAGCCACATCTTCCTTCACGTGGCTTCCAGGACACCATACCCACTTGGTTCTCTCCCACATCAGCGGGCAAACTCCTTCTTAGTCTCCACTGCTGATTCTTCATCTCAGCATTCTATACGTGCTGGAATAAGGCCTGTGACCCTATCCAGGCCTATGGCTTTAAATGACATTACAAGCTGATAACTCCCACATTTCTCTCTCCAATGCAGACCACTCACCTGATTCCAGACTTAAATAATCAACTGCCTTCTTAGCACGTCCACTGGGATGGCTAGTCACCATTTTAAAATCTTGATTTCCCGCCTCCCTCAATTCCGCTCTTCTTGGAGTCCTCCCAATGGAGGAAAATGGCAACTTCTTTCTTCCATTTGAAAAATCAGCCTGACATAGTACTTGAAAGATATACATTGCCTAGGCTCAAAATTGCAGCTCCATAGCTGTCTGATCTGTATTCTCTCCTGAAAATTTCCCCTCTCTACTGGATCATTCCATCAGCATCTGTGCTGCAGTACCGCCCACCTTAAAAACAAACAAAAGACTCCTTTGATCCCTCATCACCATCCAGACAGTGTCCCATTTGTTAACTCCCTCTATAGAAAAACTACATCAGTCTTAGCTACATTTGTTGTTTCCAATCCCTTTCTTCAATTCCTATCTCTCGAAAATCTTTAAATGTACAAAAAAGAACATAGAATAACGTAACAAACACCTGCGTATCCACCACCCAGATCTAACAAATACTAACGTTTTGCCATATTTGTTCCAGCTCTTCTTCTCTTGTGAGATATAGTTGAAGCCTCATTTGAATTTCCTCCCTGATTACTTTCTGGTCCCTCCTTCCCTACCCTCTCTGCCTCTACCAGAGACAGTCCCTATCACAAAGCTG